CACCCAGTGTCTCCTTTCCTGTCCTTGGCAGTTCACATTCTCTCTGAGCAGCCGGGTGTGGTGACACATGCCTGTAATCCCAGCACTTGGGAAGCTGAGGCAGGAGGATTGCTGCAAGTTTGAGACCGGCCTGGGCCACAAAGTGAGCTCAAGGACAGCCTGAACTACATAGCGAGACCCTCTGAAAAAGACAAAAAAAAAAAAAAAAAAAATGAAGAGGGAAACCTCAATGAAGAAGGTGTCAGGTGGAGCCTTCCCTGAGTTGAAACTCATGAGCAGGAGTGATTAAAACCTTCAGAAACACAGTGACTTTTGGCAACCAGTCATCCACAGAAAAACGTAATGGTGCAATAGAGCAGTGGTCACTGTGGACAGTACTGGTTAGTGAGTGGCACAAATTTGGCAAAACCACAGGAGACAGTGATTGACCAAGAGTTAGCGTGGAGAGGGGCCAACTTAGCTCAGAACTCAAAACAACTGGTGGCTCCATCTAGCAGCTCGCAGCTAAGTTCAAGCCCATAGATGTAGCACTGATTGTTACAGACTGAACAGATCTGGTTCCAGACACAGAAAAATCTGCCTAAACTTCAAAGGAAATAAAGGTGCAGTCTTGCTGAGATTATCCACTACCCCAGTGTAAAGCTACTGCTGCCTTGCTGGGATAAATCAACACAGATCTGGAGTCTGTCTCCACATACTGTCTACCATGACAGCAGAGTCATGCCTTGAAGTGGACATTTCTTTTGCTCTTCCTTGGTTTTGTTTTTTTCTTTACTTCATTGTTTGATCTTTTGTATGAGTATGAATGTAGTTTCTAGTTTTTTGTGGTTGTGATTCTGTTCTATAGTTCCCTTTTTTTTTTTTGTTTTTTTTTTCCTTCCTTCCTGTATTCTGTACAAGATCTGCAAAGCTTGTGTGATCTTCCTTTGTCCTCCAGGCTTGGTTTTAATCTCTTCTTCTAGTTCTCCATTTTTCTCCCTGATCTCTTTTTTCTCCCTTGAGGGCAAAATCAGTATATTGAGGGCACATTTACTGCATACAATTTTCGGGTTTGATTTAGATTTTGTTATATAACCACAAATCTAGTTCATGCTGTTACGGCAAAAATTCGGGCTGTATTCCGCAAGAGACCAAAGAGAACAGACAACGTTTTAATTTAGACCGGTCACCTCTCATCCTGACTTGCAAGTCCAGGAAGTGGGCGGGGACCTGTCTTTGTTCCCAGGTTATATACATTTTTGGTTTCCATGGTAACAGATTGGAATGTTGTAGCCCTGGCCACATGTTGTTTTCCTTGTGCCATGTAACCGGGTCAGGCTCCAGTCAAGAGCCCAACCACAATGCTATATACTTTCTGTACTCTGTTCTATATGTCCCCCTTTAGATAAGCATACATTTCCTTTATGGTTACAATGTTTATCTAGGGCCAGGAGATGGAACTGCCCAGGCAGGGTCACAGAGGGTCACCTAGGCCTAGGTGCTCCCTTATCTCGGGGAGACATTCCTGGGCAGTGTTGATGTGGGGAATTAGCTCTTACACTGTCCTGGGAGGCTTCCCAAGGCACCATGCAGGCTTTTACCAAAACTATTTTATCTAAAACAATATGCTAAGATTCACTGCCCCCTAGAATGCAGTTAAAGGTGACAAATTAGTAGTTATCTCACTTTGTTATTTCCTAGACTGTATTCGATGCTATTTTATTATTGATTGTACCACTTTTATCAAAGTGATATAACTGTTCTAACCAGCTGTTCTTCCTGGTATTCCATGACTGAGATTACCTAATGATCATACAACATACTGTGGGCCATTGCCAAAGAACCAAGGGCTGGACCAAGTAGGCAGCAACTTCTCATCCCCAATAAACTGAAGAGGTAAGATTTTGCAACAGATTAAAAACCTAAAAACCATCTGCAAGATACCTCTGAGAGTTAGTCATCTCCTCAGGGCTCTATATACTAGCAGTAAAGCTACTAACTATAGACAATTTACAAGCATAAACCCAGGAATTAAACTTAAAAAATAGAAAAAGAGAAGACACTTAACAAGATGCAATCCCAAACGTCCAGCTCTACAAAGCAAATGTAAGGTGGAATGAGGTAGAATGATCTGAAAGGAACCAACCTGGCCTCTCTGAAGTGCTAACAACAAAGCAAATGAATGAGGCTCTAGAAAACACACACACACACACACACACACATACACACACACACTATGTAACACACACACACACTACATATATATATATAGTGTGTGTGTGTGTGTGTATTGGTATCATTCCAGTAAGTTCAGGGTGATGGCTTCTGAATTCCCCTATCTTGTACCCTGCATTTGTTGTGGGTAGGCAGGAAGTCTGAGATTGCACTTTGCTTCTGTGTCTTGTCTTGATTGATTCTGCCAGTCTGTTTCTTTGGTTGGTAAATTGACACCATATATATATATAGGGAAAGAGAGGTTAGGGAGGAAATCAGAACTGAAATAACTTCACAGGCAAAAAAAAATGATGACCAGAATGAAGGACTTGCTCAGCAAAACTAGAGTAGACATAGATTTTAAAAAGAGAGGAGCAAAGAAAAATGATGGAACACATGAATGCCCAACACAGGAAAGAAATGGAATGCATGAATCACATTCAAATAGATATCCAAGAAATTTAAATTCCACTGAAATATTGCAAAACTGAATGAAAGAAAGTGAAGATAGAATATATGACCTAGAAGTCAGTAGTGCAGTTAGGAATCAAATAAAGCTGTCTTAAAAATAAAAAGGAATTATGAAAAAACAATACAACAACTGCAACATGATGCAGAGAAGAACATAAGGTTGACTACAGTCAATGACAAAGCCACAGACAGTACAAATGACATTTTAAAAAAACCTGTTCACAGAGTAATAGCAGAAAACTTCCCAAGCATGGAAATAGAATAGCATATAGTTAAGCAATACATACAGAACTCCAAATAGTCATGAACAAAATAAATCACCAAGCCACATGATAATCAATATTTAAGAAATTCAGCACAATAGAATTTTAAAAGCTGTTAGAAAAAAGAAACAAATCACTTATAAATGAGAGCCCATCAGAATCACAGCAAACTTCTCAACACAAACCCTTAACTCAAGGAGAGCTTAGAGTGCAGTATTATAAGCCCTGAAAGAAAATAACTTCCAACCCCGATCGACGTATCATGCAGAATCATGTTAGAACTGAGAAAATACCTTCATGACAAAGAAAAATGGAAGGAATTCATGGAAATCAAACAAGTTTAACAAAGTGATCTGAAAGATACTGTAGAGAGAAAACAAAAACCAAATAGGCGGCAATAGCTTCCAGGGCTGGGGCAAGGTTCTCCAAAAGCTGTACATTCTTTGAATCAGCAACCACTATGTGGTACTGTCTTCCATAGCCAGGTTTCGTATGTCCAGGAATGAAGGGGTGGAAGTATAAGTGGAATGACTCACCATTACTTTTAGTGATCCACTAGCACAATTTTGTACCCTGTTCTCATGACCTTAGGCTCTACCAGCTTAGAAAGAAATCTTTGTTCCAGACCAGGGAAAGGCAGGAAGCAGGAAGCACAATGACACCTATGAACTGGAAGCGAGGACTTCCCCCTGATCATTTTGGTCTCCTGACTCAGAGGAAAGAAACTAAAAAGGGAGTTAAAGTGTTGAGAAGGGTGATTGAACCAGACTGTCAAAGGGAAATGACTATTGCTCCACAATGCAGGAAAGAATGTACTTGGAGTGCAGGAGGTCCGTTATGGCATCTCATAATGAACCAATCCAGAAAGAATGTCACATGGGCCAGAAGCTTCATGGATGAAGAGTCAGCACACCATGGAAAGAACCAAGACCTGCTGATGTGGCTAGCTGAAGACTAGAATGACTAATACAAGGTAATTCTAAACATCAGCTATGACACCATGATCAGCTATAGAAATAAGGATTAAACTGTAATCATTTTTGCTTAGCATGCTTCCCATGTAATATAATTTTATTGGTTAAGTCTTGTTAAACCTATGTCATAGGGTTCTAGTTATAAAATGTTAGGAGTAAGCATCACCCAAAGAAAACATCCCTTCTATTCTTGGGCAGGAATTGGTGTGTTTCCATTTGTAGTGAGCATAGTTATATGAGGCATATTTATGTACTCATCTTTTTATCTGGAAACTATAGTTTAAAGAAATGTGTGTGGTTGTGAAATTATCAAGGGGTGGATTTTTATAATGAATTAATTGTGTCAACTTGAGTACTATATGCACAATTATATTTGTTCAACAAAGTTGTGGGTCTGGAAAACGAACCCAAGGGAGGATTGCTGTGAGAATGCTATCTGAAAGAAATGAAAAAGGATGGCTTGCTTATGTTTTTGTGGAGGAGCACCAGTATTCACTGTTACCTTTCAAGTCATCTCCTGCTTTCCAGCACAGTCTCTTCAGCCTCCAGCTCAGACCACAGGGACTCGACAGTGGGCTCCAGGCCCTCAACTGGGTTATTTGGATATGCAGTGCACAGAGAGACCTTCTGCACTCTTCCACATCTGATTGTGTGGGAAGCCATTTTAAACCAATCTTGTAAATTCTTATACTTTTGTATATCTCACATTAAATGTTTCTCTAATGAGCACTTACTGATACATGATTAAAATTCATGAAACACTTTTACAGACAAGTTATGGTCCATCTGATCTATCACAATCAGAAACTCTCACAGCAGTATGGTTTATTTTTTGGTACAAGTGATATTAAAATTACTGGTTAGAAAATACAATATAAGCATGAAAAGCAAAATATTAATGGTAAGAAAACATATTTTTATGTAAATAATAATATTAACACCAACATGAACGTGCAATAGGCAAAAATTATATTCTTGAAACAATATAATTATGTTGGGACATGTGCAGTATGGGTTCTTAGGATATGAAAAACAAAACATTTACTAATCTACAAGTTGTGTGGCCAGTAAACTTTGTCCGAACACACATTCACATGTCTCTAAATATGTATACATATATATTATAAAATCAAACTCAAAATTATTTTTTACACAAAATATGAAGTTTATACACTAAGAAATCCCATCAGAAAAAAAACAATTAACAAAGTATATTTTAATGGTCTGTACCTCCAAATAGTAAACACAAAGCAAAATTAAAACTACATAATCACTAACCCTACTTGCAAGTGATGAAATACCTTTCAATTCACAGGTTTAATTACAAGATAATATAGGTTAAGTTCAAAGACAATGGCTTACACAGAAATTATTATGTACTATTTTTTTATAGTAAAGACTACAGGTACATAGTTCAGATACTTACAAGTGATTGGCTCAAAAACACACTAGAAATATATCCTAGGGTATCTCCATCTGGGAGTGTATTTTCCAAAAACTTTATGAAGAAATATTGACATCGAATTTTTCAGGTGTCCATTACATGAGGAATTTTCATAGGATTCTCAAAATAAGTCTATATATATAAAGTTTCCCCTAGTGTGACTTCTTTTATGTAGCTGATAAAAACCTGTGTTCACTTAATGTTTTCTCCCACACTGCTTTTATGTATAGGGTTCCTCCCCAGTGTGAGATCATCTATGTCTATACAATGAGGACTCACTAGCATAACTTTTTCCACATGGCTGACATGCAGTTTCTCTCTGGTGGGGTTTTTTTCAAGTCTTTGACAATATTTGTGTGTAGTGAATGACTTCCTATATTGCTTACACACAGTTTCTCTCCACTGTGAGTTCTTTCATGTTTTTCACAATGTCTGTGCGTAGTTAATGCCTTCCCACATTGCTTAGAGAGGGTTTCTACACAGTGTCAATTCCTCATAGCTTTGACAGGTACTGTGGGTGCTGAGTATTTTTCACATTACTTACATATATAAGGTTTCTGCCCAGTGTGGATTTGTTTATGTTTAAGGAATGCATATGTGCTAGCAAATCCTTTTCCACATTGCTCACATATATAGGGTTTCTCTGTAGTGTGAGTTCTTTCATGTCTTTGACAACATTTGTGTGTAGTGAATGCTTTTCCACATTGCTTACATATATAGGGTTTCTCCCCGGTGTGAATTCTTTCATGGCTTTGACAGGAACTGTGTGTGGTGAATGCTTTCCCACATTGCTTACATACATAGGGTTTCTCGCTACTGTGAGTACTTTTATGTACTTGTAAGTTACTGCGTGTGGTGAATGCTTTTCCACACTGGATACATACATAGGGCTTCTCACCAGTGTGGGTTCGTCTATGAATGCGAAGTGCGTATGTGTTAGCAAATCCTTTTCCACATTGCTTACATACATAAGGTTTCTCACCTGTGTGAGTTCTTTCATGTATCTGATAATAAACTTTTTTAGAGAATGCTTTCCCACACTGCCTGCACATATAAGGTTTCTCCTCAATGTGACTACTTTGATGGCTTCGACAGTTACTATATGAGCTGAATGCTTTCCCACATTGCTTACATACGTAAGGTTTCTCCCCAGTATGAATTCTTTCATGTATTCTACAGGAACTCTGTGTGTTGAATGCTTTCCCACAGTATTTACATACATAGGGTTTTTCCCCAGTGTGAATTCTTTCATGTATTTTACAGGAATTCTGTTTTTTGAATGCTTTACCACAATGTTCACATATATAGGGTTTCTCTGCAAAGTGATTTCTTTCATGCACTTTACAATAATTCTGAGTACTGAAAGTTTTCCCACATTGTTTACATGCATAGAGTCTGCCCATGTGACTTCTTTCATGTATTTTACAGTAACTCTGTGTAGTGAATACTTTTCCACATTGTTTACATGTATAGCGTCTCCCCCCAGTGTGATTTCTTTCATGTACTTTACAGTAACGCTGAGTTGTGAATGTTTTCCCACACTGCTTACATGCATAGGGTTTCTCCCTAGTGTGAGTTCTTTCATGCATTTTATAACTACTCTGTGTACTGAATGCTTTCCCACATTGCTTACATACATAAGGTCTCTCTCCCATGTGAACTTTTTCATGAATTTTATAATATTTCTGAGTATTGAAGTTTTCCCCACATTGTTTGCATACATATAATTTCTCCTCAGTGTGAATTCTTTCATGTATTCGGTAAAGGCTGGACTTCGTAAATGCTTTTCCACATTGCTTACATGTATAGGGCTTTTCCCCAGTCTGAGTTATTTCATGTCTGTGAAAAGAATTACTATGAGCTAATGCTTTCACATGTTCCTTAGATACATTGGGTTTCTCTCCCACATGTTGTCTTTCGTGTTCTTGAATAAGGTGAGAAGAAATAAAAACATTCCCATATTGTTTCCACAAATAGGGTTTCCACCCACTGCGATTTCTTTCATGGATTTGATCACCACTGGGTGTGACAGAGGCTTCAAATCTTTTCTTACCTACAAAAGTCTTCTCTCCAGGGTGAGTTCCTGCATCAAGTTTAGAGCAGGTTTTTCCACATTGCTCATACTGATAGGGCGTCTCTCCAGTCTTTCTCCTTGCATGCTTCTGACAGGACTGGAGATCACTGCAGGTTCTTCCATCTTCATTACATTTACTCAGCTTGTCATCAAATCCAAAATACTCATCTGGCTTCATTCCCGTCTGAGGTAAAATGGGTACTTTTAGTGATAAATGCCCAATCAGGGGCTTTCTATAAGCAAGGCTTTCAGTTGGCTTTACAGCAGCTTGTTGCATGTCCACATTAGCATGTGGAGTCCGAAGAAATATTTTTTCATGTTGATTCCAAGCTTTACATTGATTGCATTTTGATACTTCTTCACTGCTGTAAACACAAAAGAAGAAAAATATCAATCACAGTAAAAATCCTCCATATCAGTAATTTACCAGGATAAATTCTGGCTGGGTGCCTGCTAAGAAATTTTGAGAATAGTCTGAAAACAATGGAAGATGCCACCTAAACACCCATTTTCCAAGTGATGTTATTTATTTGGGAATTTTAAATTGATGTATGTTTGCAATATATAAGGTCTAATTCAATTTGGTCATTGATGCATATGTATGTCACATATTCATAGTTTTTGACACTTGTGTCCTGTCAGTCTCACCTTTTCTTCATATCCAGGTCATCTTTCCCATCTCTAACAAATCAGTCTTTCTGTTCTCTATCATTTCTCAATTTTACTCCCTAATACATGATATGTACATACTTATATAAAATAAAATGTGAGATAATTCACTTTGTGTCTGACTTCTTTTAACAAAATAAGATAGAGTACCAACTATTTTGTGGCAAAAGATATGACATTACTCTTTATTACAGCTGAATACTTAGCACATTTTTTTTTAGTGTTCAGTATCAAACAATAGTCTTAGCACTAAATTATATTTCCAGTTATTTTTTATTTTGAGAGATTCTCATAGATCATTAATTTGCAAAGGGTAAACTTCATTTTGTCATCCTGCTGGCTCGCCTTACCAGAGTGCTGGGATAATAAGGGGGTACCACCATGTTGGGCCTATCCTATATTCTCTTTACCCATACATATAATGATGGGCAT